GCCATGTATTATATGGTCTTTTATTATTATACCTTGATTGAAGTCATTGTCACATCCATTTATGATGAGAAAGTAAGACATTTGGGAATTGATTCTTATATCATTTAAGTATAGAATTCCTCAGCTTTTTCTATGATTTGTTGCATTTCCTCCCTGTTGTTGGTTATCCAGGTAGTGTTATCCATGTATGCATTGATGATGGTGGACATCTTTTTTTGTTTAACCATCCTTCCCTGATTTCTCTGCACATTTTTGTGATAATGGTGTAGCCAAAGAAGTTTTTGACAATGTGTGAGATTAGGGGGTCATAGAAGATGTGCTATAATAGGGAGAGATTGTATCACTCTGGTCAATATCATCTTCAACCTCATATTCTTTTGTGGGTCTATAGCAAGTAAAACTATGTTCTGTCTTTGGCTGAGCATATTTAGAAAATATGTTTATTATTTGTGTTGAAATTTTAATTTGTTTAAAAACCTTGATAAACATTTCTAGGTTCATAGAGTCAAAGGCTTTTAATATGTCTTGACTAAGAATCCATGCCTGTTTTTTGGTTTCTTTGATGTATTCTATAATGTTATTAATAATGTGTATGGGTTCTTGTGTGTTTTCCTAGAAGTGCTGTCCAGCTAAATTTTAATAATATTTTTTTTTTTAAACACTGAACTATTCTGTCAGTGATGATTTTGGTGATGATTTTTCTTTCATCATCTAAGAGAATAATGGGTCGTGTAATATCCAGGTTGTGTTGCCAGTCTTTGGGTTTGGGTTTAGAGTAGATATTGCTTTTGCTCCATTCTATAGGAGTTGAACCTTCATTGATAATATGGTTGAATAGATTCCTTATTTCCTCCAAGGCCTTTTCACCTAGTTTTTTGAAGGTAAGATATGGGATTTAGTTTCTTCATAGTGCTAACTTGCTACTTCTATCTTTAATTGCTTTTTTTAGTTCTTCTTTTGATATGTCTATGGTGATTAAGTGATACCATCTGAGTTTGATAGAAGTTTTGGGAGTGTATTACATTTCTATATTAGATATTCTACTAGTTGTTTTGTATCTCTGGCAGGTGTTCATTGTTGGAAGTATTTCCTAACCCTTGTTTTAATTTCTTCTGGTTCAGTTATTATGTTGGTTTCTCCTTTCTCAACAATTAGTTTGTTTAGAATAATGGTTTTGTAAGGTCTGTTCATAATACTGTTTATCATTGCTTTTTTGTTGGTTGCTAAGAAAAGTTGGCTAGGTGCTGTTCTCTGTTTGATTACTTAATTTTGTTTTCTGTGGGTTATGGCCTGGGCAATGACTTTGTGTACTTGTATGGTTTTCTGTAAGTGGATAATCAATTGTTGGATAAAGTAATTAGGGTGATTTTTTTGTATACTATATAGTTGTTGTTGGATTTTTGCATCTATCTCCTTAAAAACTTTGGTATTTTAGATATAGACTTGTTGCTTTTTTGTATTGTTTTTAATTTGTTTCAGAAGGTCTGCATAGTGATTAGAGAATCTTTTATTTGTTATGCTTCTTCTTATATTCTTTTTCTTCATTGTGATTTTCTTTTGGGAATGTGTAGTTTGATGACCTTGAGGATGTGGTTACATATAGTGTTCCACCACTTATTATTCATTGCTGGTTTGTTGTTTTGTTTGCTGAGGGCTTTATCTACTTCTTTACTAAATTTCTCCCATTGTTCGCTATTTGCCAATTGTCAGTTGTATCTGTGATGGAACTTGTGATAAGTGTTGCCTTTGGGGAAGTTGAGTCATTATACTTCTATTTTAATTGTTGTTGATCTATAATCGTTGAGAATTAAGAGATCTAGAGCTTCTCCAATGTATGCTTTCCTACTGTTCCAAGAAGGAAGGGTGTTCATCCAAATTTGATCAATTCTACTGTTACAGTTGTTGCAGTTCCATATATACTCTCTCTTTATTGGGTTGTGGTATCTATATATGTCTTCTAGTCCATAATCAGTGAGTACTTCTATTTGAGGGCCGGAGGATCTGTTTGATATACTGCGAGTTTCATGGCCAGCCTTATCCCATGCTGGGTTTGGGGCACTGTTGAGGTCTCCTAGTACTAAAAGTTGCCAGTTTTTTTGTATAGCTTCTCTAATCCATTGTTTTAATTTGTTGAGAGTTTCTAGTTATTTTTTGTCTCCATGGTTCGCATGGAAGTATACTCCTATGATTCTGAGTTTTTGTTTCTTTGGGAAGGACAGATCGGCATGGATGAATCTTCCTTGCCATTTTTTGTGATTGTATATGTGAATGGCTATTTTTTTGCTGATCATTAGGTTTAGGCCTTGTCCGATTGTTTGTTTGTTGTTGTGTAATCATAAGATGTCATATAGTGGATGTTTTCAGTGTTTAGATTGGTGTTGGTTTCCATTGGTTTCTGTTGTGACTATTATATCCCATTTCATTGTGATACACTATTTGAACCATGTTTCCCTTTTGTGCTTATCAACTAGACCCTGTATATATTAATTTATTAAAAGTTTATTTATTAAATAATTATTAAATATTTATTTTAGTTTTTTTTTATAAAAAGCAATAAAAATATTATATATATTTTTTAATTTTAAATTTTTATTTGTATTTCAAAAAATAATCTTTTTTATACTTCAAAGATTAAAAAGGTCTTAAAGTATTTTGAAATTGGGGTTTTTTTTTAAAAACCTTCTTGTTGTTAATATTAAAGATTTATTTGACTTTTCTTGAATACTGAAAGTCAATTTTTGTGTGAGAGGTTTGTAAACAATAAGAAAAGAGTAAAGATAATTCTTGAAGTTATACTTCAAGTTATTTTAAAAAAAGTATTGACTTTTTTGTGTGCGATCAGAGGATTAGTAAAAAGAGTTTTGATCAATAATAATAATATTATTATTATTAATATGATTTTTTTTTGACAGAAAGGTTCACTAGACGAAAAAAATTATTTGATATACTGCCAAATAATAAAAATAAACAGTTTGTTAGATTAATGATATAAATGAATCAGTAACTTAATAAAATGCGCCACTTTGTCATGTGTTATATATAATTGGTATAATTATAGTCTATATACTGTAGACTATAATTATAGCACTCTTTGCACGGATGGTTTTCACATATTTCATATAAAATTCTTTAACACTTTTATCTGGTCTAAATAACTGTCTGTGTTTCAAACTGGTACATCTGCTTCTGACTCTACTTCTGTTGCCGTAAATGAGATAATCACGCTGACGGACGATTTCAAAAAATATGATGATCAGAAACTCATATCCTTTTTGCGAGAACCTAAGTTAGGACTAAGCGAGGGAGTCATCAAAACTTTAGATGCTACCAGTCGCGTCTTCCTCAGACAATATTTCAGGGATATTAATTTAAAGGCAGGTATGCGTTTGTACTTACAAACTCTGCTAAGGAGTGTATTAAGGAAAAATTGCCTTATTCCAAGTCTTCCAAACATTTTAACTTGAATTTTTGCAACACAATTCCCTCGAAAACTACTCTAGCAATAAATTTGTGAGATATTAACGTAAGAATTTTGTAAAGATTGTAGTTACGTATTGAATAACACAAAAAAAGACCTTACACGAATTGTTGACTTAAATTCTGGTTTTATAATGGGACGCAACAGAAAGGCCAAAGAACCATTGATAAACGGAAGGTATATTTATTAATAATATGATATTTTGATGGGTTAAAGAAAAATCGGAGACTCTTAATCGCAAGCCGGAGCTGGGGGAACTCTTAGTTCCAGTCCTGTCGAGTCCCGAACCCTTAGTTCATTAATTTCAAGCGAAACTGGGAACTTTTGGTTCTAGAGAAGCTCCTACTCCATAGAAAAGAACTATCTGTAACTCTTAGTTCACAGTGACGAACTCTTCGTTCAACACAGCCATGCAAATATTTCTAATTTTCTGTTTTTGTATTGCTTAGAATTGGAGAACTTCTCCAAAGAAGTTTATTGCGGATTTTAAACGGATTATTTCTATTAAAATCGATACATTACATTATAGGTAAAAATAAGTCAAAATTTATATAAAACATACTGTCAACATTCTTTTCAATTAGGTGAAACAACAGATGATTGAAACAGGAGTCGCTTCCACCCAAATCGTTGACATTCGAAAGCATCATCAAGGTGATAACTGAGAAGCTGTAAAAATTAAGTTTTAGCGAAAATTTTAGTAAGAATGATATGTAGTCATTTGAACCAGTATAAGAAATTAATACACGTATCGTTATTTTTGTTATCCTTCATCTGAAGGTGATATCCCCGGTGACATTAAAAGATGGTCTCCCGATCATGTCAGAGGATTCCTTAAATATCGGAATCTGAAGTTTAAAAAATCCGAAATCAAGATATTACGAATGCCTTTCTCAGTTGACAGAAGAAAATTTGAAAAGAAAACCTGGCCTTTGCGAACTTAAACCAAGCTCGGAATTATGAAATTAAACAGGGTAAGTTATTTTTTTATATAAGTGAATGATCTTCATTAAAGACCTCATCTAAATCGTAATATAAAAACTTCACGAAAAAGAATTTCGCCATTATTTCCCTAAATAAATCTAAATTTTGAGTAGCGGACAAGAAATTATAATGATGATAACATTGAAAAAATTGTAACATTCACCGAAATAATTAATTCTTTTAAATCCTAGAGTAGCACAAATTTTTTTCAATATATTTTGAAGTTAAAATTACTGATATGTATTAAAAAACAAGTGTTTTGTCTTTTACTTTAAGCACAAATCTATCAACAAAATTGTAATTAATACTTCAATCAATTTCCATTAATCATTAATTAATTCGCTATTTCTATTTGCACAAACACTTGGTCATATCAGGTCATGCAAATAAAGATTTGTTACTCGGCAATTTGAATCGCCGCGCCGAAATACCACATCATTTCCGGCCGCGTAACGTTACACTATTTTACAAAAAATAAATATACAGTACGTATATCACTCCTGTACTCTGCGCACAGTATTTGCGTAAACTTTAGATCATGGGTCGCGGCAATTCACTAGTTGATGACTTAAGTTCTTTTGTAAATAATCCTTTACATAGTGATTTGGAAATTGTTTGTGAAGATGGAGTTCTATATGGTCACCGTGTAATTCTTGCAGCCCGTTCGGATGTTCTTGATCCACTGTTGAGTAACGGGATGGAAGAGTCATTTAAAAATCAAATTAAATTTCCAGAGATCAAAGAGTCGGTAATGAAGATTATTCTTAGATATTTATATACTGGATCAGTTATTGAGAGTGATTTATCAATAGATATTGTGTTTAATATTTTTCAAGCGGCAGACTTCTTTCAACTAGATAATCTTAAAGATCATATTTTAGAATTTTATAGGAAAACCTGTAAAGAAAGAAACAATGCTCCAGAATTGCTATCAAAAGCAGTTCAGCACATAACTCCAGTAGCAGATAATGCCGTTATCGACTTCTTGGTTGATTCCATTTCCAAAATTTCTCTAAATAATATTGAATCTGGTCAATTATCTTTTCAAGCATTACAATGCTTGCTCTCCAGGACATTTGATAAAAAAAACGGGGTTTTTTGTACAAACGAATATTCTGTCTTGCGTTTTGCAATTTTGTCAGCGGCAGGAGAAGTAGCGCAAAACACCTCGATTTTAGAGAAAAAGATACCAGCATGGGAGGAAATTAAGGATGAGATCAAGCGTGGATTTGATCTTAAAAAATATGAAGACATGTCAGATATTTTAGATATTCGTGTTCCTATTGCAAATAAGTTGTCACCTCTTATTGATTTTATTGATCTTCGGCGCATCGATGGATTAATTCTTGCCGATATTATCGAACCTTTGGATTTAATTAAAAAAGATCATTTGTATAAAATCTATCGTTCTTACGCTCGTCGGGAATATTTTTCGCCTTTTCGCGGTATTTCATGTTCTCGCGAAAATATTAAGTGGGAAAAAAACGGCTGCAGTCAAAATTTGATCATTAGTCCGGATGGATATACGGTATATCATGAAGGAAGAAAAGGATATCAAAGTATTAGAACTAATCTTTTAATGGACGAGGGATTTTACGAACTTCATATCAAGATCGAAAAATTAGTTAATGAAGGTGGTGACGTAGGATTTGGAGTATGCGGCGAAGGTCTAGATTATTTAAATTGGGCAGGATGTCAGAAAAATGGTTGGGTTTTAAGCACTAACGCTACAGCCCTTCACAACGAACATCGAACGCCTATTCAAATGCCACCATTTCGCCGTGTTAACGTTGAGGTCATCGTGCATTTGGATATGGAAAATAAGACTTGCGCATTCACCATCGATGGAAAAAGTTACCCTCCGATTGCTGAATGGAAAGACTTTCCACCAAGGCTGTATTTTGCTGCATCTCTTTCTAGTGGAAGTCAGTTGAAAATTTTAACATAAAATAGAAAGCGCTGTCACTTTGATACAATATTATATTTTTAATATATTATCCAAGTTGTAATTAGACATGAAGGAGACGACAATACTTTGAAATATTGCGAAAATCAAAATTCAACCAGGGAAACAAAAGTTCAATGCTTTCTAATGCCCTGTATTAAGATTACCCGGAATTAATTTTTGAATCTTATTTTTAATGAATTGATTTTTCTAGTAATCTTAATTGCCGTAAGAATCAATCATTGGAATTATGATCATACGAATTTAATAGTATATGTAGTAAAAAGATTATAGTTTTAATGAAATAGCTATTGTTTTTTTTTAAAAAAAAACAATTTATTTATTTATAAAATATACATATAATTATTTTTATTGTATTATATTTTTTTTTATTAAAAAAAAACTCTGGTTTATCTTCTAATTACATAAAAAAAAGATATTAACAAAAAGTTTCATACCTTTCTACTAATAAAAATGGTTACTGTATACTTTTCTTAAAACAATTTACTTCTACTTATTTATAATAATCTCTGAAAATCTTCAATTTTTTGTAATTAGCATATTAAGCTTATCTTTTCACAAATAATAAAAAGATTTTTAGGTGAAAAATATTAATTATAGAGTACTTTATATAATTTACAATATAAAAACTCAAATGCTTCTTTTTGTATTGATTTTTTTTTTCGATTTTTTTTTGAAAAAAATTTTTTTATCTCAGATTGATTTTAAGGATTAACTATAGAGTAGGGGATATAATCATCATAATGATATCTGGTAATAAAATATTAATATGTGAAATGTTAAAGTTATTAAGTAAATAATTATTGTGTTTAATAGAAATTATGATGTTTTTTATATTTATAATTATAAATAATATAAATATAATAGATTTGATATTTAAACCTATAGGTCAATAGTGCAGTGATGAGTATTTCTTGGATCTGATCATAGATACAAATTCAAATACTTCTAAAAAATTACTTGAAGTTAATAATATTTCCACTTATTAATTTAACTATCGTTTAATATTCTCAAATATAGTTATTATTATTTTTTTTATAATACTGATGCAGCCTTGTTTTATTAGTTATGATGTATAGTTATATTAGGAAATTATATTTGCGAATCTATTTAGTAATATCTATCTATTTACAAATAAAACTCAATAGAAAGATATTTCCTAAATGGAACCTCTCACCTTGTAGCTTGTTGCTACCCTATTTGAAGGGCTAACCTGCCAAGGCTGGGCTATGCTAAAAGAAATTTCTGATATGGGAAATGGGTTAACAATATTATTTATCCATGCATTTATGTAGCTATTCACCAATTTTATGAATTGGCTTTTAATATAAAATTCTCTTTCTGTAGAATAAGCATCTAATGAAGTTGTGCTATCTTGGCTGCTTTCTCTTTTTTCCTAGTGATACCTGCTTTGTATTTCCTTTTTTGGAACCGTTCACATCTGTCAATCCATATTTCATAGAGGTATTCTATTATCTAGATTTTTATGTTTATTATATATTGGGCTCTGATATACTTTGCTTTGATAGTCTTCCTAATTTTGTCGAATATTTTTTTAAAAATTGCACTTGTGATAAAGGCTTCAAGATACAGTGTAGAGTCTAGATCTAGCTCTGCTGTTGTGGAATCCCTGTTGGTTTCTTTCATCTTTTGCTCCTTATATGTATTTGTGCTATTCACTATTATTTATTTTATTTTGTTTTGTATCTTTTTTTTTGTTTCTGGCAGGTGAAGGGGTATGTATATACATGTCTTAACTTCTTTACACTGCAGGTATTTGTTATCACAATAAATTGTTGGTGATCTTTTATGCAGTTTTGTTTTTGTTGACAGATCATTGTTCTATAAGCTCAGACTGAACCTTTTGTATTTCTAATCTTCACAATTTTTTATGTTGTTGCTTATTTTGATATACCACAAGTGATCAGTTGTTGTTTTTTTGTGAATCTGTGAGATTATTTGATCATTAAAGTTATATCTGGTTTTATTATGAGTCTTTATTTCACTATGTATATCACTTGAATTATTAGTTGTGTTATTTCTTTTAATGAAATATCTAGATTTTGGTTATTCCATTGTGAGATAATTGTTGAGTGTCTATATATGTGTAGTTGGATTTCTAATATTTTTTTCCTTAGTTTCATATCTTGAATTTGTATTATTTGTACTAGTTTATCTGCTTGCTTATTATATTCTATCCCTGAGTATGCTTTTATTTTGTGTACTTCAATTTTAATGTTCTTTCTTCTATACAAATGCTTGATTTGAATAAATATAATTGCATTTTTTGTGTATTCATTATTTTGTTTTCCAAGATTCCATTACTTTGTTTATCCTATTTATGACTACTTGACTATTTGTAAAAATTCTGATCCTACTATATTCTAACAAAATACTAATTGTTGTAAAAATGGCTATAATTTTTACCCATTTTAATAATAGTTAGTTTTGGATTTGATCCTGAAATTTAAATTCTTGATTAGTGGAAGATATAATAATCCATCCAAAGCCCATGTATAAGCTATTGTTTATTTTTATAAGTAATTTATCTATATATATATCAAAAATTGCAAGATTCTCAAATGTTACAGTTATATTTGTTAATTGCTCTAAGGTCTAATCTGTTGTCTTGATTAATGTTAAAAACTCAACATCTTTTTAGATATGAACACATAAATTTTTTGTTGTTGTATCACATTTTCTTTGGCTTTAAGCTCATTTAGGACTTTATTTATAGAGTTTGGAATATACAATTTCTTCATAGTACTGAATACTAAGTTGCAGTGGAATCCTCTCTACATGAGACCCTGCTTCTATGGAGGAAAATATTAACTACCTATTGTTTTGCTGTAATAAAGATGTATTTTGTTGCTGTTTCAAGTTTTACTATATATTTCATAGACATTCAGTGCATGCATGTAAAGATAATTGCTTTTTTTTGTATGTAGTATCTGTAAAGTGTGTCATTTTGATTTATCCTTTTCTGCTTTCTTCCTATGATAGTTTCCTGGTCTTGTCTTGTATATGTATAATATAATTTAGTTATATTTTGATTAGTCGTAGGATACATTGAAAAAAAATGTTATTTTTATCTTTTGATAATATTTATTCTTTTTAATTGATTATTAATTAGGTATTTTAGAGTATAAAACCAGGTTGCAGTTGGACTATAAGTTGGTTTTCTTTTGGATCTGATAATTTGATATCAATATAGAGTTTTAGTTTTTTTTGTGTTCAATAGTTGTCCAAATGAATAAAAGCCTGTTTTTGTAGTTTATGTCAGTTTTGGTTATAAAAGGTTTTGCTTACAATACTTTTAATAGTAGTATCTATCTCTATTATTTTAATTGCTATGGAGTTCTCCTTATACATTTAGAATGTAAAGCTATGTTTTTTTAATATCCAGATAATGTTATACATCAAGTTTACTTATTGTCTCCTGAATAGTTGAGTTAAATTACTATATATATTTTTGATTAATCAAAACTAATTCTTTAGTTCTTGAAGTCTTCTTTTGTGATTTCTTGCATTACACTATTACTGTTTATTCCTACTGGTCAATTTCTTGCATATAAGAATAACTATCTATTCTAGATATAGAAAAGGCTGTACTTATATTTATTGTATAATATATTGTTTTGTATGTTTTTGGGCAGGCCCAGTTTGTGTTTATATGTTGTTATTATGCTGCTTATTAGAATGTTGCATTCTTTTTTGTTAGTACTACATTATTGCATAAATATTATATGCTGAATAAAAGTATATAATTCACTATGTATTGTATTTATTTGTTTGTTATTCTTTTTATATCTAGGGATGGATGTCCTAGTTTTCCCGACTTTCTATTTAATAAGTGTTTTCTGATATTTCTTTTTCCCAAAACTGTCATACCAAATCCCTAGGATTCTAACTGGTATACCTTTTGAATTATCTTTTATCATTTGTTTATTCCTTATTATTACTAATTCATGGTTTCTTTTTTTTTATTTATTATATTCATTTGTGATTTTTGGGAGTTGACTTGAATATTATTGATGTAGTAGAATTGTTCTACCCTTTTCACAATTTGTTGAAACTCTGTTTTATTATCTATAATCCAGGTTGTATCATTCATATAGGCACTTATTGCCATGTTTGTTCAGGTTCTTTTCTATCCTGTTTTCAAGTTGATATAACTTTTAGACATAATTGAATATTCTTTGAATTATTTATTGATCCTTGTAATAAGGGGATCATAAAAGACTCTCCATAACAAAGGAAAGATAGTGTTTTCTTAATCAATACCATTATTTAACTATATGTCTTTGTCAGTTCATGGCAAATAAATATGATGTTTTGTCTATTCTCTAGCATATCTGTCAAAAATCAATTATCTATTTTGGGATCTTTATTCAGTACATTGCTATAGCCAGCATCCTTATGTTTATTTAGTTATATGCTTTTGATATGTTCTGACTTAAGATTCATGCTTGTTTCATGTATTCTTTGATATGCTCAATTATATTACTTAAGATATATATCAGTTTTTAAGCACTACTTCTTGAAAGTGCTGCCTAGTTTAATTTAAACAGTATTTTGTACTCTTTGAGACATTTGGCCAGTTTATCTATTATAATTTTTGTAAAAAATCTTCAGCTAGTATTAAGCAAAATAATAGAATATGTAATATCTAAGTTGTTTGCCCAGTCTTTGAACTTGAGAATTGAGTAAATCATTCCTTTACTCCATTCTCTTGGGGTTTCTCCATGTTTAAGTATTTGGTTAAATATTGTTCAAATTGTTTCCAGAGACTTGTCACCAAGTTTTTTATATACTATATATGGAAATTTATTTGTACCTGGGGCTGATTTAATACTATAGCTTTTGATAGTTTCCTTTATTTCTTTCAAGTATATATTTTGTAATACTAGTCATATATTTTCTTCTTGATTTCACTCTTGGGTCTGTATTCTCTTTTCCAAAGTAAGTAATTGCATAGGAAT